CTTCTGTGTCACAGGCCTCTCTGGTGATTCAGCACCCCTCAGGTCCAGCGGGTAACTAGATTGCACAGTCCCTGCTGGGTCACACAGGCCTCTTTGGTGTTTCAGCACCCCGTAGGTCCTGTGGGTAACTGCGTCGCACAGGCTTCTCTGGTGCCCTAGCACCCTGCAGTGCCTGTGGGGCGGGCAGCTGGATCGCACCAATCTCTCTTGGGCTCCGGCTTCCCACTACTCTTGTGAGCTACTGGACCACACAGGCTTCCGTGGAACCCCCGGTTCCGCTGCTTGTGGCTGGGGAGTGCTGCTGCCCTGTGTGGCTCAATTCCTGCTCAGCTTTTGCTGTAGTTGTTGGGGATGAGTCTCAGCTGCTGGTCTGTGCTTCTGTTGCCTGGGGATGGATGTCCGCTCCCCAGCCTCTGTTGCCTAAGTGTATATTTCGACTCTGATCGGGCTGGGCTCCGGGCTGCCAGCAGTTTCTGTGGCTGGCGTCTTGGGAGCTCCACTACTCAGTACATGTCTGTGTTGACACAGAGTGTCCACTGGTTCGATGGTGCCAGGTGTGCTGGTGGGCTCAGGTTGCTGGGCCCTAGCCGCTCCCACTGCCTCCTCCCAGGGAAGACCTGGGATCTTCAAAAATGGTGGGACCTCCCCGTGGTGCAGGGAGAAGCGCCCTGAAGGGCTGCTTTCTGCGGTAGTCGGCTGCTCCCATCCTCAGCACAGGAACTTTCTGCTCTGAGTCTCTGCACTGCTCGGGTTTGGTCGTCCACTTTCACATCCACTCACACTCTCTCACACACTCACCCTCCCTCCGGTCCTGCCCACCGTTATCTCCATCAGAGTATATTTTTTAAAAATTTAAATTCTAGCCCAGCTGGCATGGTTCTGTGGATTGAGCATAGTCCCATGGACTAAGAGGTCCTGGTGCGATTCCCAGTCAGGGCACATGCCCAGGTTGCAGGCTCGATTCCTAGTATGGGGCATGCAGGAGGCAGCTGATGGATGTATCTCTTTTACATCGATGTTTCCATCTCTCTCTCCCTTCCACTCTCTCTCTAAAGAAAAAAATAAATTAAAATATTTAAAATTTTAAATTTTAGGTGGTATAATGTATGATCGATCCATCTCATAGTGAAATTAAAAAGAGATTAAATATGTTTTTTAACCAGTAGATTCAGTGTTTTTATCCTTTCTTCTTCCTGGTGAGAGGAATGTCCAAGACCTTTACTGTGATCTTTTTTGATACTTTTTCCCACTGGGTGTAAGGTCAGCAGGCTAGGGGGAGTTGCATGACCAGGGAAATAGACGACCAGAGGAGAACTTGAAACCTAACTCAGGACTCTCTGCCTTACCCGGATGCGGCTGAGGTGACACTTCTGGTCACGTCCCACCACCCTTCCCAGCCAATCAACATACGCCAAACCTGAATCTCCCCCAGCAGCTAGCCAGTCACCTGATGCCTCACCTAATTACCCCACCCAGGTACCTCATGTCCCTATAAATCTTCCCTGGGCGAAAGAAGCAGCATAACTTCCCTGGCCCCTGCCACGTGGACCAGTGAACCTAGCCTGGGAAAATTCAATAAAATATTCTTGCCTACTTTTGCGGCTCCGTTTCTCTTTCTTTCTCTGCAAGATAGCTTATATTTGGTGCTGAAACCCAGGAGGAGCTTGAGCATGCCTGGGCTGCTCCTCTCCCTCCCTCCCAAGGAAGACCAGGGGCCACTGACCTTCCACCCAGTTCGGCACACGGTGTGGTAAGTCCCCCTGCCTCTGGCCTCTCCTCAGTTCTCTCTGCCTCCGGGGCTCCCTGTCTATAACTGCAGCTGCGTCAGGGACTTCCTATCCATTCTGAGTGTGTGGGGTTCCACAGAGACATCCCAGATGCTCCCCACTCTATCCGTTAGTCCAGTGACCAGAGTTTGAGTTGCAGGACACCAATTCTCATCTCTGATCCCTCTGGGACTGAGACTGACCACGGGCAATCAGGAATCTCAACTAGATCCAAAAACACCTCTAGGGTGTCTCATTTTAAATCTCTCAAAAACAGATCCCTCCCTAAAGAAGAAGAAACTGTTTTTCTTCTCCACTGTGGCCTGGCCACAATACACACTGGACAACCAGTCCAGATGGCCTCCTGAAGGGACTTTTGATTTTATCTCTTGGCAGGCATGCAGAATGCAGCCGAAAAGGTAGTTAACTCACTCAGGAGCCTGATGAGAACCCAGCTCTATTCCTAAACCGCCTGACTGAGACTATGCTTCTCCACACCCGACTGGACCCTGCCTCAGTAGGGGGGGGGTCACAGTCTTAGCTACTCATTTTATCTCCCAATCAGCTTCAGATATTAGAAGGAAACTTAAAAAGGCAGAAGAGGACCCTCAGACCCCTATCCAATACCTGTTGAACGTGGCATTTAAAGTCTTTAATGCCCGGGACGACAAGGCTGAGGCCACTCATCAGGCCCGAATGCAACAGAAGGTAAACCTCCAAACCCAGGCTCTAGTGGCAGCCCTGAGGCCGGCAACCCAGCATGGGCAGGGTACGAGGGACGCCCGACCTAAGGAACGTAACGTCTCTGGGCCACCGAAGGGAACCCCACCTGGGGACTGCTTCAAATGTGGCAGCAAAGACCACTGGGCTCGCCCTGGCTGGTTTGGCTCAGCAGGAAAGACCACTGGGCTCGTCAATGCCCATGTCCACAGCCACCTACAAAACCATGCCCAGACTGTAAACAGCCTGGTCACTGGCGGAGCGATTGCCCTCTCTGGGCAACGGGCTCATCCTTGGTGCCTCCAAGCGGGGGACAGGCCGGCCAAATGGACCATCGCTTGAGCTCCTTGGCCTCATGGACGGCTGATGCGGCCCAGACTCGAGGACCCCAATCACCCTTGCCGAGCCCCGGGTAAAGCTGCAGGTAGCGGGTAAGTCCATCTCATTTCTGGTGGACACAGGGGCTACCTTCTGTGTTCTGCCATCTCACTATGGGCCTCTAGTTCCTTCTCAGGTCTTAGTTATGGGAATTGATGGGACACCTTCCTTTCCCCTCCGCATACAACCTCTGTCATGCAGTCTAGACGGATACCTCTTTTCACATTCCTTCCTAGTTATGCCCTCTTGCCCTGTGCCCCTCCTGGGCTGAGACATATTACAAAATCTTGGGGCTACTATCCAAATGACATCATTCCGGATGGCTTCCTCTCATCTTCTCTATCTGTTACATAGGCTCTTCTTCCCCCTCATCTAATCTCCCTTGCAACTCCATTATCACTGTCGCTGCCTTACTTAATGCACCACTTAGAGGATTCTTTTGGTGTAATGAAACCCTAACCAACTCCATATATGCCTCATCCCCCTTTCCCTGCCTACCAGTCACTCTGGTACCCCAACTTATGATGTATGGCCAAGCAGAGCTCCTTTGCTTGCTATCTTCACCAGCCCACTGGGAAAAAAGAGCAGTTTTCCTCCTGGTCCTAGTGGGTCTCTCCTTAGAATCCTCCCTCGTTGCTGCAGGCATGGGAGGTGGCGCCATAGGCCACAGCACAACCACCGCCACCCAGCAAGAAGAAAAACTCCGCATAGCTGTAGAGGCATCAGCCACCTCCTTAGCCTCTCTCCAGTGCCAGATCACCTCCATTGCTCAGGTGGTACTCCAAAACCGACGGGCACTGGACTTACTGACGGCTGACAAAGGTGGAACCTGCCTCTTTCAAGAACAATGCTGTTACTACATCAATGAGATCAGCCTAGTAGAAGCAAATATCAACATCTTAGATCACCTACAGGATGAACTCCAAAGGAGACAGTCTACAGATAACCCTTTCTCAGGATGGTGGTAGTCCCCAGCGTTTATATGGATAGCTCCTATCCTGGGGCCTCTTCTAGTTATCTGCCTGTTACTGATGTTTGCTCTTCTTTTCCTCAGATTTTTATAGAACCGCATCCGCGAGGTTTCTCGAGTGGCTGTGAACCAGATGTTGCTTCACCCCTACATGCGACTCCCAACTGAGCCACTGGCCACTGACCTCCCCGACCCATGACACCCCTACCAAGCAGGAAGCAGCCAGACAGAGAGTGGCGCCCTTATCTAACACAAAAGGTCAGGATGTAAAGTCAGTGGGCTCCGGAGAGTCACATGACTGGGGAAATGGATGGCCAGAGGAGAAATCGAAACCTAACTCAGGACACTCCACCTTACCTGGATGTGGCTGAGGCAACATTCCTGGTCACATCCCACCACCCTTCCCAGCCAATCAACATATGCCACACCCGAATCTCCCCAGCAGCTAGCCAGTCACCTGGCACCACACCTAGTCACCCCATTCAGGTCCCTAATGTCCCCATAAATCTTCCCTGGGCAAAAATAGCAGCGCAACTTCCTTGGCCTCCACCACGTGGACCAGTGAACCTCGCTCGGGAACGCTTCAATAAAATTTTCTTGCCTGCTTTTGCAGCTCCGTTTTTCTTCCTTCCTTAGCTAGATACCTTACATTGGGTTAATTGTGGTAAAAAAACAAAACAAAACAACAACAACAACAAAAAACGCCCTGGCCGGTTTTGCTCAGTGGTTAGAGTGTTGGTCCACAGACCAGAGAGTCCCGGGTTCAGTTCCTGTTAAGGGCATGTACCTCGGTTGCAGTTTGTCTCCGGCTCCAGTTGGGGTTGTGTGGGTGGCGACCACTCAATGTATCTCTCTCACGTAGATGTTTCTTTCTCTCTCTCTCTCTCTCTCTTCTGCTCTATCTGAAGATAAATGCAAAAATGTCCTCAGGTGAGGATTAAAAAAAAGAAAGAAAGAAAAACAAACACCAGCTACTTGCCTTAGAACCAGAGCAGAGAGCATGGTTTTACTGAAACCTAGTACAGTTGTTCCTTATACCTAAAATCTGCACCTGTTTTCTTAAGGCCCTGTAAAAGGCTGATATATATTTCTTGATGGAATAATAACATGACTCAAAGAATTAAACCAAAACTGCTTTCTTGCATGCATTTGAAATATTTGCTCACCCCAGTGTTCAGGCAGATTGGCAGGTCGGACTTTACTGAGAAGAGACTTGAATGAAGATTTTTAAATCTGTTAACAGGAACTTTGCTAACCAGGGATTGAGAATGGACAGAGGGAATCTTGATGGCTTGGATATCTGTACTGGAATCTGCCAATTTACAAACCCTATACCAGACCAAAAACAAAAAGAAATACAAATTCTCAAAATCACGACACATTTCATTGTGTTTGAATTTAAAGAATAAAAGTCATGTAAAGTTTGAAAAAAATAAGAAGTTAGGGCAAGAATAATGAGGGGAAAAGGAGCTGTTAACGGGAACTAGATTATATACTGCTAGTAAGTATATACTGGCTAGAAAGGTTTAAATAGGCACTGAGTAAGTATTGAATTAACTGACCTATGGCTTTTCCAAAGAACCGAGGCAATATTAGCATGAATAGATTCATTATTTTTCTTAAAAGATACCACATGCAATTTAAAACAAAAATGAAATGTTACTTAATATCTATTTTATGAGCAAAATTATAAATTATAAAACACAGCATTGCTGACACTCCAGGTCAGGAGTTGGTAAACTATATCAGTGAGCCAAATACAGCCCAAGGACTTGTTTCTTTCTTTCTCTCTCTCTCTCTTTCTTTTTTTAATCCTCACCTGAGGATATTTTTCTACTTATCTTCAGATAGAGTGGGAAGAACAGAGGGAAAGAGAGGGAGAGAGAAACATCAACGTGAGAGGGACATATTGACCGGTTGCTCCCCTGTACGACCCCGACCAGGGCCAGGGATGAACCTCAACCAAGGTACGTGCCCTTGACCAGAATCGGATCCATGACTCCCACGACTTATTGGTCTACAGGCCAACGCTCTAACCACTGAGCAAAATCGGCCAGGGCTGTATGACTACGAGCTCAAAATGGATTTTACATTTTTATTTATTTATTTATTTTGTTAATCCTCATTTGAGGATATTTTTCATTGATTTTTAGATAGAGTGGAAGGGAGGGAAAGAGAGAGAGAAAGAGAGAGAGAGAGAGAGAGAAACATTGATTGATTGCCTCCTGTACAATCTGACCAGGGCAGGGGATTGAACCTGCAACCCAGGTGTGTGCCTTTGACCAGAATCGAACCTGCAACCTTTGGGTTTACAGACTGATGCTCTAACCACTGGGAAAAATCAGCCAGGGCAGATTTTGTATTTTTAAAGTTACATGTTAGATGGCTATCTAAGTACCTATGTAACATTCTTGATTAGGACACTAAGCCTACATATCCTAAAATATTCACTATCTAGCCCTTTAAGAAAAAGATGTATTCATCATTGGCAACAAACTGTTAAGTCAAGAACAAATTTTTTTTTCTATTTTATTTTTTCTTCAGATAGAGCGGGAGGGAGAGAGAGAAGTATCGATGCGAGAGAGACACATCGAATGGTTGCCACCCACACAATCCCAACTGGGGCTGGGGACAAGCCACAACTGAGGTACGTGCCCTTAGCAGGAACCGAACCCAGACTCTCTGGTCCTCAGGCCGATGCTCTAACCGCTGAGCCAAACCGGCCAGGGCAAGAAACACATTTTTATTCATAGTCATTGGGTCAGTTATTCTACTCCTGGAAATTTGTCACAGCAAAACAATCCAGTCAATTATTCCCTTCAGTACAGTTCCATCAAAGATGGTGTATTTGTTATCTCTTGCTGTGACACAGATTATTCCAATACTGAGCAGCTTAAAACAATAGTAAACATTTATTATCTCACAGATTTTCTGTGGGTCAGAAATTTGGGAGTGGTTTGGTTGGCTGGTTCTTTCTCAAGGTCCCTCACCAGGATGCAGTCAAGCTATTGGCCAGGGCTGCAGTCCTCTGAAGGCTTGACTAGGGCAGAAGGCTGCAAGTACCTCCAACGTGACATCCTCACATAGCTGTGGGCAAGAGGCAGTGGTGTGCTAGCTGGTTTAACAGCTAGCTCTGAGTGTAATTCTAACAAGGATGTTGGTTGATGTTTTAATTAACATTAATAATTGAGAAAAAAAAATGAAACAACAAAGATGGATGTCAGAAGTTCACTCATTTGTCCTTGAGGTGAACAACATTTTTTCTGAATTGAGCAATACTTGTTTAATGCTGGAAGAATATTTTCAAATTTCTGTGTTATTGTAAACAAAACAGCTCCAGATATGATACAATTTTAAGCTTAATTTGTATTATTAACATTTTTTCATCACTTTCCTAATTCAGACAATCAACAAAATAAAAAAATTAAACCCTAATTTATAGTGTTTACCCAAATTCTATGGTGTAAATACCCTAATCACAGTTGATTTTAAACTATCAATATAACATTTCCATGATATAGATGTTAAGTAGATGTAAATAACCTCAAGACCACTGATAATAGTAAAATGTAGCCAAAGTGTTATCACTTGTGATATTTTAATTTATATTAAGAAATACAGGATTTGGAAGATGGTGGCGAGCAGGACCAGAGGGAGGATGAGTGTGTGAGAGAGTGAGCTAGTGTGTGAGAGAGAATGAGTGGACATGAAGGTGAACGACCAAACTCCTGCAGTGCAGAGACGCGAGGCAGAAGGTTCCTGTGCTGTGGATGGAGCAGCCAGCTACCGTGGTAAGTGGCCCTTCAGGGCGCTTCTCCCTGCGCAGCGGGGAGGTCCCACCATTTTGGAAGATCCTGGGTATTCCCTGGGAGGAGGCAGTGGGAGCACCTAGGGCCCAGCAACCCAAGCCCACCAGTGCACCTAGCACCATCAGACTAGTGGACACTCTGTGTCAACACAGACCAGTGCACAGTAGTGGAGCTGCCAAAGTGCAAGTCATGGAAGCTGTGGACAGTCAGGAGCCCAGCACCATCCCCCATAGTAGCAGCCCAATCAGAGTCAAGATATACCCCCAGCAACAGAGGCTGGGGAGCAGACATCCATGCCCAAGCAACAGAAGCACAGACCAGCAGCTGAGATTCATCCTCAAAAACTACAGCAAAAGCTGAGCAGGAGTTGAGCCACGGGGGCAGCAGCACTCTGCAGCCACCAGCGGCAGGACCTGGGGCACCAGAGAAGCCTATGCAACCCAGCAGCTCACAAGAGCAGTGAGAAGCCTGAGCCTGAGAGGGACTGGTGTGATTCAGCTGCCCACCTGCCGGACCTGCAGGGTGCAGGGGCACCAGAGAGGCCTGTGTGACCCACCAGGTACTATGTGATATAGTTACCCGTGGGACCTGCGGGGTGCTGAAGCACCAGAGAGGCCTATGTGACCCAGCAGCCCATTACATAGGCAGAGAGCCTGGTCCCCAAAGGGACTGTGTGATCCAGTTACCCACGGGACCGGCAGGGTGCGGGGGTACCAGAGAGGCCTGTGCGACCCAGCTGCGCACAAGATAGGCTTAGAAGATGTGAAAATGGAGACGGAGTGAATGGAAGCTACACAGAAGATCTCCCAGGACCAAACGGGAATTACAACGAAAATAAAGACAAATCCTAGGAGAAAAGCAGCAGGACAGGACCATATAACCAGGGACACTGGTAGGATCTGCGGAGGCGTGAGAGGGTGTAGGCTGGGAGCCCACGGACAGCAGCAATCTTAGCTGTGAGCTGGGCCCTTGAGGAATAAAGACCAAGCCCACTCCACAGCACAGAAAGCCGGGACAGAGCACTAAAATAGCCACAACCAATCACTTGGGGGCTATGACAGAGGGAGGGCAGACTGGGCTGGAACTCAGTGGGGACACCCGGGATTTGGAGGGCACTCAGAGATTTTGCTGAGTTGTGGCCACAAAGGATGGTGGCCAGTGTGCTCCTTCGCAGAGCTGTGGAGAAAAGCAGCAGCCTCCCCCCATCCACAAGCTCGAATATTCAGCGTTTCCCAGGTGAGGCAAAGAAATGAATTAAGGCTCATTAATAACCAGCATCTATCCCACCCTCTGGAAATCCTCTTTGCACAACACCAGGGCTACATTTCAAGGCACGGAGGAACTGAGACTAATACCCTCAGGAAAAAGCTACAGGATAACTGAACCTTTCCTGGGCTTGCAAATCTACCCAGGAAAGTAAGACTTGACAGTGGTGTTTAACGTGGGCCTACCCAGGCTCATCCAAACCCAGTAGAGGGAGCCACAAACAGCAGAACACCAACACCCACAGGGAAACTTTGGCAGGCTCCAAAGACCACTGAGATAGCTAAAATGGTGAAACAAAGAAACGAAACCCAAATGAAAGAACAAGAGACCTCTACCAAATGAAAGAACAAGAGACCTCAAAGATGAGATAAATGAGGTGCAATTAAGCAAATTATCAGAGGTAGAGTTCAGAGCCATGATCTTGAGGAAGCGCAACAGCATGAATAAGGACATCAGCACCATGAGTAAAGATATAGAAACATTGAAAACCAACCAAGTGGAAATGAAGAATGATATAGCAGAAATAAAGAACACATTAGAAGGACTAACCAGCAGAGTAGAGGAAACTGAGGACCAAATCAGTGAATTAGAAGAAAGGATAGAAAAAAATCTACCAATCAGAAAAACAAAAGGAAAAAAACAATTAAAAAACAGGAAGATTGCTTAAGAGAACTGTGGGACAACTGGAAACGTAATAACATTCTCATCATAGGAGTACCCAAGAGGAAGAAAATGGGCAAGGGTTAGAGAATATATTTGAAGAAATAGTGACAGAAAACTTTCCTAACTTGGTGAAGGAAGAAGGCATTCAAGTTCAAGAAGCACAGAGAGCCTCAAGTAAGAAGAACCCAAATAGGCCCACACCAAGACACATAGTAATTAAAATGCCAGAAATTAAAGACAAAGAGAGAATCCTAGAGGCAGCAAAAGATAAGTGACAGGTTACCTACAAAGGAACCCCCATAAGGCTCTCAGCTGACTTCTCAACAGAAACACTACAGGCCAGAAGGGAGTGGCATGAAGTAATCAAGGTCATGAAAAACAAGGATCTGAATCCAAGACTACTCTATCCAGCAAGGCTATCATTCAAAATAGAAGCTCAAATAAAGAGATTTCCAGACAGAAAAAAAAAGGGTAGGGGAATATATTAAGACCAAACCAGCACTGCAAAATATGCTAAAAGGACTGCTGTAATTAGTAGAAGAAATAGAAAGAAAAATATAACCACACTAAACAAAAATGACAAAAAAAGGT